GAAGAAGAAGAAAAAAAACCTAAAAAAATGCTTACTGGATCATTATTAATATTTAACATATCAATAATAATAGATAAATTTTGTTTATTTTCAATAAATTTTAATTGAAAATTATGATTTTGAGAAAGTATAGTTAATAATCTCGCTGCTAATATAATAACACAATGATGTGTACATAAAGGTGAACGTGTTGATGGTACACATTTTGGTCGATTATTAAATTCATTTCTATGAGCATCTAAACGTGTACGCATTAAACCTAATAATATAATTGGTTCAATTTGATATAAATTTGAAAATGGTTCATATGTATATATTGTATTTGATTTATCATTTGAGGAATTTTCAATAAAATCATATTTAATATTATTTGATTTTGATAAATTTGAATTTGATAAATCATATATTGATCCTTTTGCTGCTGCTGCTGCTGCTGCTGTTGTTGTTGTTGATGATGATGATGACGATGATAATGATGATCGATCTATATTATTATTATTATATAATGGAATTGATCGTTTTGATATATCATTTGAATTATTATTCATTGTTGAACAAGATTCAACTGATCCAAATATTTGTTGTGTTGGATTTGTTGATCGTATAAGATTAATTGATGATTTTTGTTCATCATTTTCTCGTGATATTCGACGTAAAATATTTGATAATCTTGAAGATTTATTTGAACAATTATATTTAGATTTATTTGTTGTTGAATAATTTGATATATTTGAATTAATATTTAATTGTCTTCTTGATGATGGTATATAACATGTATTATATTTACCAGAATTTAATAAATTATGATAAACATATAAATCATATAAATGATTTATTGTTATTAATGATATATATTCAATATAAGCCATATTACTTGATAACAATTCTAATGATATATCAACTAATTTTTTCGTATGAATTTGAAAATTTTCTATATGTTCACGTTTATCATTATTACGTAAAAATTCTTTATAAGATGTCTAAAATAAATATATTGATTTATATTTAATATAAAAATAAAAACAATAAAATAAATTTTGTTAATCATATTATATTTATTTACTATTATTTATATCAAATAATAATTTAATTAACTATTTAAATAATTAATTTAATTTAAAAGGATCAATTTTTATTTTTTTATTCAACTATTATTCGTTTGACTAAAAATCAATGTCAACTTATTTTTTTTATCGAAATAATAATATAATTAAATAATTTAAAACTAAATTTAATATCTATATTCAACATTCAATTATTTATTTCATTCATATTTAGATAAATAAAATAGAAAATAAAGTCTACTTTCAATATTTATAAAATTAGTTTTTTTCTTATTGTTTTTTATTCTATATAATATAATTAATATATTT